CTACTCATATACGAAAAGTAGTATATCGATGGCTTCTCGGATCTTGCGTTTTCGCGTAGTTTAACAATGTGCAGCCAGCCTTTGTGTCGATTTCGGGTCCTGTCAGTGCAATGTCTTCTGCTATTTCGGATCTTTGCGTATCCATGGTTTTACCGAGTCTTTGCTGTTCCTTGAATTGTAGGCCAATTTTTCGTCCTGTTCCACCGATATACTTCTGCTCCCAGCTGGCGCATTGGATGCGATAAACTCCCGAACAATCCAGCTTGTCAGTCTTTTCGTGTTGCATCGGCGGACTCGTGAAAAGTGTTGTCTTCTCCTTTGCTATCACCTTGATGCTCCATTTCCTTATTAACGGTTCTAATGAAGGCAGGCAAATCCACTTCTGGTCGTCCTCCTGATTCCTGATATGATTTTCATAAAATCCGAGTTGAAATCTGCCCTCTATGAATTCTCCGGGAAACCCGTTAATGAGGCAAATCCGTGTCAGTTTGACCAACTCCTCGTCCCAGAACTCATTGTCCGTTGGTCGTAAGCTTCTGATGATCAAACTTCAGTCTGTAATTATGGTGAGACTGAAGATTAAGTATTATTCCCGCATACAAAATCTCTTGATGAGTGTCCCTTTGGAGCGCATGACTTCAATGTCCAGAAAGACTAGTCGTTCATCCTCCTCCACCTTCATTGTGAATGTAATTCATTAATTTATTTGGTTGATGAAATTGAGAAATTCTTTTCAAATTTTCCTTACCATGTGACCAAAGTGCAAAGTAGTCATCCAAGTATCACATAAGCACTCTTGGTTGCAGTGGTGACTTCTCGAATTCCATTTCAAATTTGTCCATTTATACATTCGCCGAAAGAGGTGAGAGTGGAGAGTCTATCGATAGTCCAAATAGTTGCTCGTAGATACTGCCGTTAAGTGTAAATTAGGTGGTTTTTACTGTCAGGTTGATCAGCATAGAAAGACACAGCAACCATACAGAATGCCACACCATCTTGGCCATCATACCCTCGATTAGACTATAGAAGTAAGGTTGCCAAACAGTGCATCGATTACAGCCGAACAAAGAAGCTATTGTAATCCAATCGCGCTATCTGGCCGTTTTGAATTGTTGCAAGCATTTTGGTATCGCTCCCGGTTTCCTCAATCTAATGAGGAAATATCATTAGGAAACAGTTAATGAAATACTTTATCATGCCTCGATCCAGAAATTAGAGGAAAGTTACGAATCTGAGAGGCGTAGGCTATTTAAGTTCATAGATATTAAGTCTGGATTAAGGAAGGGTCTAGGCAGGGTTTTCACTTTGGATGCCTTCTAAAACACTCCAGAGTATGATGGAACAGAAGTCACAGAGGGTCCGGGATATGATAAATAAGCGGCATGACAAAAAATTATTTAGCGATAGGATAATAAGACAACTCCAGACCAAGCCAACCCGGGCAAATTTTGATGGTTCTGTATTAAATGTATCAAATGTAGTTCCTCAATCCCTCTTGAGTCTGAAACCATGGATCTTCTAAACAAGTGGTTAAATTTTTCCCTTTGTAATGAAGGAAAAGTTCTTGATAATGTTCTTGTGGAAGTTGTAAACATATCGGATAAATATCCTGAAGAGACTAGGCGTGAGATGGAAATGGAAATCATCCCACGAATCCTGGCACATGGAGAGCCAATACGCAGGAGCGGATTGACTGGTATCAACAACAAATTACAAAAGAATGACCAAATAGTTCTTCGGGCGGATAAGGGAGGAGCGACGGTGGTAATGAACAGGAAACAGTACACGGAGAAAATAGAAAGTATGGTAGACGACCGGAACACTTATAAAATAA